TTTTCTGTCTATGGAAGCTCCTTTTATGTCTGTTTGTCTAATCTGTGCAGGGTCTTGCAGCGGTGTGAGGAGAAGCATCTGGTGCTTAACTGGGAGAAATGCCATTTCATGGTGAGAGATGGGATCGTGCTGGGACACAAAATCTCAGAGAAAGGGATCGAGGTGGACAGGGAAAAGATCGAGGTGATGATGAGTCTGCAGCCACCAACATCAGTCAAGGGGGTTCGCAGTTTTCTGGGCCATGCAGGTTTTTACAAACGCTTCATCAAAGATTTCTCGAAGATTGCCAGACCACTGACGCAGCTGCTGTGCAAGGATGTGAAATTCGAGTTTGATGATGCATGTTTGGAGGCATTTCATGCTATCAAAGGAGCTCTAGTCAGCGCTCCTATTGTCCAGCCACCAGATTGGGAACTTCCTTTTGAGGTGATGATCGATGCTAGTGATTATGCAGTGGGCGCAGTGCTGGGACAGAGGAAAGAAAAGAGGCTCCATGTCATCTATTATGCCAGCCGAACACTCGACGAAGCTCAGTGCAGATATGCCACAACCGAAAAGGAGCTTCTTGAAGTGGTTTATGTTTTTGAGAAGTTCAGGTCCTACCTTGTTGGGTCAAAAGTTGTTGTTCACACAGACCATGCAGCTCTGAAATACCTGTTGACGAAAAAGGATGCCAAGCCAAGGCTCCTTCGATGGATCCTTTTGCTGCAGGAGTTTGATTTGGAGATTAAAGACAAAAAAGGGATTGATAATGGTGTTGCAGACCACTTGTCAAGGCTGAAGATAGATGATGACATTCCACTAAATGACAGCCTTCCTGATGAACAAGTTTACGACATAGATGTTTCTGGGTTCGACGAGCACCTGCTCCCCACCGGAGCACCTGCTCTGACGAGTTTTTGCAACCAAGTTGACATAGATCGGCATTCTGGTTTCCCATGGTTTGGAGAGATTGCAAATTACCTTGCTGCAGAGCAGGAACCTGCAGGTTTTGTGGGAAACAAAAAGAAGAAGTTTCTGAAGGATGTGAAGCACTACTTTTGGGATGAGTCTTATTTATACAGGCATTGCTCTGATGGAATCTTCATAAGATGTGAAGCTGATGAGGAGATACCAGGAGTGTTGTTTCATTGCCATGGATCCTCTTATGCAGGCCACTTCGCCACTTTCAAGACTGTGTCAAAAATTCTCCAAGCTGGGTATTGGTGGCCAACGATGTTCCGAGATGCAGCGAGTTTTATCTCCAGATGTGACACATGTCAGAGACAGGGAAACATTAGCAGGAGGAATGAGATGCCTCAGAATTTCATCTTGGAAGTGGAGATTTTCGATGTGTGGGGTATAGACTTCATGGGGCCTTTTCCATCATCTTATGGGAATGAGTATATTCTGGTGGCAGTTGACTATGTGTCAAAGTGGGTGGAAGCTCTGGCTAGTCCCACAAATGACGCAAAGGTGGTTTTAAAGATGTTCAAATCTGTCATTTTTCCCAGGTTTGATGTGCCGCGAGTGGTGATTAGCGATGGAGGCTCTCACTTCATCAACAAAGTCTTTGAAAACTTGTTGAAGAAGAATGGTGTAAGGCATAAGGTGGCAACCCCATACCATCCTCAGACGAGTGGGCAAGTTGAGGTTTCCAACAGGGAAATCAAGAACATTCTGCAGAAGACTGTGAGCACCACAAGGAAGGATTGGGCAGTGAAGCTTGATGATGCTCTTTGGGCATACAGAACAGCTTACAAAACACCTTTGGGGACTACACCATTCCACTTGGTGTATGGAAAAGCATGTCATCTTCCAGTGGAACTTGAGTACAAAGCTGCTTGGGCAGTGAAGCTGCTGAATTTCGATGCAAAGAGTGCTCAGGAGAGGAGAGTAATGCAGTTGCATGAGCTGGAGGAAATTAGGCACCTGGCCTATGAAAACTTGAAGATTTACAAAGAGAGGACAAAAGCTTTTCATGACAGGAGGATCCTCAACAGAAGCTTTGCACCAAACGATCAGGTATTGCTCTTTAACTCTAGATTGAAATTGTTTCCAGGGAAGCTGAGATCGAGATGGTCTGGACAATTCACCATCAAGGAGGTTCGACCATATGGAGCTGTAATGTTGCTGGACACTAAAGGAGGCGAGTTTGTTGTCAATGGACAGAGGTTGAAACCATACCTTGCTGGTCCAAATATCGCAGAAGGTGAATCAGTCACCTTAAGCGATCCTCCTCAAGCCTGAATGGCTTTCCAAGTCAAGCTAATGACTTAAAACAAGCGCTTGATGGGAGGCAACCCACCGGTAAGAGTCTCTAACTTTGTGTCTTTTATTCTTAGCTACTAACTTTGTTTTTAGATTCTTTGTTTTCAAAAAAAAAAAAAAAAAAAAAAGAAACAGGTAAGAATTTGTTCAACGTGGAAGAGAAGATGTGAGGAAGAAGAAGGAAGAGCACCCAACCGGAGCACCTGCTCCATCTGCTGGGTTGGTTGCTCAAAGCGTAAAAACTGACGAAAGAGCACTCCCCTCCCCAGTCGGAGCACCTGCTCCACAGGGTGCTCACCACGTAAAAAGTTACGAAGGAGCAACCCAAGGGAAACTGGAGCACCTGCTCCGGCACCTGCTCCAGACGAACAAAAGACGAGGGAGCACCCAACTCTGTTCCAGAGCACCTGCTCCGCCAGGGTGCTCTACATGTGCGAACCAGGTAAGTTTTCTGGGCACTTCTCTAGCTTATTTTCACACTGGGGACGGTGTGAAGTAAGTCCGGGGGAGGGATGTCCCTTGTACTTCTTTCTTTTGCTTTCTTCCTTTTAGTACTTTCTTTGAGTCAGTTTTTTAGTTTGTTTGTTTGAGTCATTTAGTTTCTTTGAGTCAGTTGGTTATATGAGTCAAGTCAAAGCTTGTGAGAATTAAGACCAATTCTATGATGATTTCAGACCATTTGTGAATCTTGACCATCTTTTTTTAGTGATTATTACTGCAGAATCATCTAGATCGACTAATGGAAAATCCAAAGACAAAGCAGTAGACTAGAGGAGCCCAAAATTCTTGACTAATCCATTGAACCTGAGCTAATTTCCCAGCTCTTCATTTTCCTCATCGATCAGGTTAGTGCTCATAGGGCTTGACTCCTCATTCTTACCTGACAAACAAAGACCTGTGTGATAGATTTGGTATTCCTCTCTCATGTTCTAAGCATTGTTTCAGGCTGTTTCTTAAAAAAAAATAAATGACAAAAGGCAGAAAAGATTGAAATGATTTTCTTTTAGAAGTAAAGGGTTAGAAAAATTTCCTAGGATCCCATTATTTACTTCTAAAGTGGAATGATCACACAAGGGATGTAAGCGAGGGGTAGGAAAATTTCCTGTGACCCCATTATTCGCCTACACCTTTGATATATAATGAGGGGACAAACCGGGGATTCGGTGGCAATCACCATCAATACTCGCGTCTTCGAACCTTGTTATATGTGCCGGAAAAAAAAAAAAAACGAAACAGCTTGAAAAGTGAATAAGTTCGGGGGAGAGGAAAGGTACTTTTGTGTAGTATGGTCAATTTGTTAAGGTATAAGTATGGGAACGAGTCTAGAAGGTCCTTAGCACTAGTTTTATCGATGAGACTCAGCAATGATGGGACATGGATGATGTTATGAAATTGAGGGACTAATCTGGAAAGTTGCAGCGTCTACGGAGAAGTACATGGAGGTTAGATTTTTGATTGATTTTGCAGCAGATTGTCACATGCCTTGGTCAGGTTTACGGTCTTTTGAGTTTTGCGAGTTCCCAGCTTTATCCAGTCATTCTTTTGGAGTTGAATTTGAGTTTGTTTGAGGACAAACAAGGATTCAAGTTCGGGGGAGTTGATGAGTGGAGATTTTGACTCATTCTAACTTGTGTTTACTGATTGTTTTAGGAGTTTTTGGAGTCTTTTCAGGAAGTTTCAGGTGATTTAGAGGCCTTATCAGAGGATTGGAGTGTTTAGGAGGCATTGGAGCAAAAAGAGATGAATTTGAGCAATAAGGAGCTATTTCACACGCTTTTGGAGAAATCATCCGCGGAGCACCTGCTCCCGGTTTGGACCCTTCGTGGAGCACCTGTGCCAAACGGGAGAAAAATAAGGAAAACATCTTTACCTAATCTCAAGCCGCGTGAAACGAATAAAAAGAGTCCAAGCCGCCTATCTTTTCTTCTACGCTTTCTTTTTACAGTTTCCTGAACCATAGAGTTTTTACTTGTAAGCTTTTGGGAGAAAAAATCTGCTACACTTTGAGAAGAACTCTGAACCCTATTATCTCCTGCGATTTTAATCCATGAATTTCTTTTCATCTGTTGTTGTGTTTCTTTTCTCCATGTCTGAGTAGATCTCTTAGCTAGATTAAAGCGTTCAAAGGATTTCGTGAGTTAAAGGATTAGATACAAATAGGGCTTGATATCTATTGTCTTCACCATTGTTAGACTTAATGCTTAGGTTGAATTGATCACTCAATCTGCGATTTTAGGTTAATCTATTCATCAAAAGTGTAATAGGTTGCTAGAATAAACATTGGTGAGCAATTTGTCCTTAGCCAACGACAGTTGAAGTTAAGGCAAATCGTGAACAGATCAAACCTGCGTTCAAACGACAGTTTAGGATTTAGGTTGTTAGACAAAGTTATCGAGATCACGACAGTGGATCGATAAGCTTTTCTGTTTGAGTTCGAGACTTGCGTTACACTTGTGTCCTGAATAGTCATCTGGTTCTTATCTCTGAAATTCCTGCGAATTGCTTTGGTCTAGTGCTTGTTTTAATTTGAATTTAAATCGTTGTTTGCCATTCTGTTTACTTTTTAGTTTTCGCAACAAACCATCTTTCGTCTTAGCTTTAATTCAATCCTCGCAAAGTCATAGAGTAACATTGGTCCTCTGGATTCCGAATCCTTTATATTACAATTACATCACTGTTCTATTGCAGTAGAAACTAGGAGTACATCCAGTGTGAATCATGCTTACAACCTCTATGACTACAACCGGTACATGGCGGAGCTGAGACAGATAAAGCCTGACCTTGCTGACTATTTGGAAGAAGCCGATGTCTCTCTTTGGTCCCGAGTTCATTTTGTTGGAGACAGATACAATATTAAGACTAGCAATGTTGCAGAGTCTATAAATGCTGCACTTAAGAAGGCCCGTGGCTATCCCATTTCATTCCTCTTGGATTTCATACGAGAGAAACTCGGTCGGTGGTTTTTAAAACGCAGAGAGGATGCTTTGAGTCTCACAACACATAATACTCGGGGAGTGGAGTATTTGCTGCCGATTCGTGGACATTATGCAGATGCAATGGAGGTGGACCGAATTGACACTTGGAGATACTATGTGAAAGGAGGAACCAGGAATTGTATTTTTGATTTGGAACATGGAATGTGTGAATGTGGTTTGTTTTATATCGAGAAGATCCCATGTTCAAATGCTATTGCAGCTTCATTAGCCGGTGGGATAGCTGTGGATTCCCTTGTATGTCCGACTTACTCAAAAAACTACTTGTTTGCCGCATACTCTGCCAACATATATCCCCAAATTTCAGAGGTCCAAAGAGGCCCAACATCAATATGTCTGACCCAGACATTCGCCGTGCACCAGGCAGACGGAAGAAGTCTCGGTGGCAATCATGGCTAGAAACTGCTAGGAGGAAAAGCAAGAAGCCAAGGAAGCTGCACAAAGTATACAACTGCTCCCAATGCAAGCAACCTGGTTATACCCTACCGAATTGTGTAAGTTGAGCTAAACTCATCTAACAATGTTGAAATTTTTATTTAATATACTTAGCCGTCGAAGATTCACCAGGAAAATAACAAGAAGGCTCCAGAATAGGAAGACAAAGCATCTATTGTTCTCAAAGAAGTCTGCTAAGGAAGTCAACTATAGAAGTCTATTGGGGAAGTCTACTGTCGAAGTCTACTGTGTATGTGATATTTTGTTGACGGTTATGTTTGAAACGACTTCATATATGTAACTGCTTTAACGACTTTAACGGTGCGTATAACCGTTGTACCTGTTTGTGTACTGTATTTTTGCTAATAAATTCTCGCGTTTAGACGAATTATAGTTTCATTCCAGACCCTTTGAAGATGTCGAACCAGATAAACTTCAACTCTCTCCCTTCCGACATTCTGTGGGATATCCTCTTAAAAATCACTTCTCGTTCCTACGGTGGGCTCTGTAGAGCAAGGGTTTCCTCCAAACATCTAAATGAGATTTCTAATGAAGAGGGTTTTTTAAGAGCCGTTGATCTAATAACTTTGACGATTCCATGGGTCTGGGATCAACATGGGAGGGTTGACGCTTTCTTTCGGTGCTGTTTGGAGTGTAGAAATCCTACAGCGCAATACCTACGAGCCGTTTCTCTAATCTTCTATGAAGATAGCATCCAAGAAGGATTTGACTTAATAAAGGTGTCATCAAATGGAGGATGCCTCATGGCTACTTACTCCATGGTTATGTTCTCTTTAACCATGGATGGTAGCCATGATGTATTTAACCACATTCGTGGTATAGTTCCGGCAGAGGCAACGAAGATGAGGAAGACTATGCAGCACATAAACAGGTGTCCGACCACTTATAAGAAGCATGACGCGTTTTACGAACCGGTCTTCCATGTTTTTGATAAGGCACAATCAAGGAGTTGTGCTTGTATGAATCTGCCAAACCAGCACTGGATGGATGATGAACGCCTCGTGGACTCATATGGTGACAAACTCTGCAGTCCTTGCTTCTGGAAGTTGGAATGTGCCTTATTCTGGAAAACAATTCCTGGATTTGCAAATGAATGGCCGCGGTGAAATTAGTTGACTCCATGTTTTATGTTTTTTGGGTTTACTTATATGTTTACATGACTATGGTAGACTTCGTTTGTAGACTTTGTTTGTAGACTTTGTTTGTAGACTAATAATTCTTATTTTAATAAATCTTTTTCCGTGTACACTATCGGTGTACACTTTTTCCGTATACACTTTTCTGTATACTCTTTTCTGCATGCTCAATGATATTTTACAGAACTTAATCAGTTGTAAGGGTGAAATAAAAAAATTAGAAATACTAACATGTTAATAGACTTAGTAGACTTCAGTACAATTACGATTACAACTTAGTAGACTTCAGTCAAAGACTTCAGTCGTAGACTTCAGTTTGAGTACAATATCCTAAACGAAAATACAACATATTTGGCAAGTTAATTATAAGATAGGTGGCCAAAAAACTTCCACATCTATTATCTACCAATTGCTAAAATGACCTCCAATCACATTGAAGTCTAAACATGAAGTCTAATATGAGAAAGTAAAACACTAACCGTATCAGCTAGCCATTTCGTCTGTGTCCGGAGAATGTAATACCACTCGATCGAAGAGTGTCTTGGGCGTTTTGGATAGGCACTGTATAAGTGAAAGAGTTAGATAGGAAATCACTACAAGAATGAGGGGCTTTTCCGTCGAATTATTTACGACGATTTTTAGTCGTCGTAAATTTACGACAACATTACGTCGTATTTACGACGATCAAAAATTTCGTCGTAAATTCGACGTAAAAAATTACCCTCGTAAAATCGTCGTAACGTTACGACGATATTACGACGAATGAAGAACGAATTTTATTTCGTCGTAATGTTGTCGTAATATTTACGTCGATAATACGACTAATTGTCCTCTATCTCGTAATTGACGTAAAATCAATGTAAATGTGATGTAAGTTTTATTTCGACGTAAATTTGATGTAAATATGCAATGGTAATATGTTGGTAACAAAACAAAAAATTCTATATATACCCTTTCTTCTCTCATTATTCCATCAACCCAAAAAAACATATAAAGACACAAATTTTTTGAGTCTTTGAATGTTTAAGTAAAATTTTTAGTAGTTGAAATTTATATCAAATTTCAGAAACAAAAAGTCAAATATTTGTTTTTGAAATGTCTATATACGATCTACGAAAGTGGATGTATACGCCCAAAAATGGTGATGGGTCGTTGACTGAAGACTTCAAAAACGGATTGGAAATATTCATGTACCAAGCCGGCCTTATGCAAACTGTAATTGAAAGCGGCAAAATGTATTGTCCTTGTGTGAAATGCAAAAATAGGAAACATATTCCAATTGACACTGTCTGGCAGCATTTATTGAATAGAGGGTTCATGCCCCAATACTTTATTTGGTATCAGCATGGAGAGGGATATGGTCAAAGTAGTGGTCAGATGGCTGCACGGAGTAGTAGTAATCATCAAGAACATGTGGATTTTGAAGCGTCCAATGATTATCAAAGTAGTCAAGTTCAGGGTGAAGATCATGATAGGATGCATGAAATGGTTACTGATGCATTTCATGAAACACATGCTGATACTGTTGAGGAGCCCAATGCAGATGCGAAACGCTTTTATGATATGTTAAACGCAGCAAAACAGCCTCTGTACGAGGGATGTAGGGAAGGTTTATCAAAATTATCATTGGCAGCTCGGATGATGACAATAAAAACTGATCACAATCTATCTGAAGTTTGCATGAACGATTGGGCAGATCTTATTAAAGAGTATTTGCCAGATGATAATTTGGCTGCTGAAACGTATTATGAAATTCAGAAGCTGGTTTTTAGTGTTGGATTGCCTTCTGAGATGATTGATGTTTGTGTTGATAATTGTATGCTTTTTTGGAGAGATGATGAGAAGTTTGAAGAATGTCGTTTCTGCCAAATGCCAAGATATAGACCGCCAAATTGCTGGGCGTAAGAAGATTCCTTACCAACGAATGTGGTATCTTCCTATCACTGATAGGTTAAAAAGACTATATCAATCTGAACGGACAGCTGCGTCGATGAGATGGCATGCGGAACATTCACAAACAGATGGCAAAATGACTCACCCGTCTGACGGGAAATCTTGGAAACATTTTAACACCGTACATCCAGACTTTGCTAGGTCTAAGCGAAATGTTTATCTTGGTCTTTGCACTGACGGGTTTAGTTCATTTGGTATGTCTGGTAGACAATATTCATTATGGCCTATGATTCTTACGCCATATAACCTTCCTCCAGATATGTGCATGCAAAGAGAGTTTTTGTTTCTAAGTATATTAGTCCCTGGTCCAAATCACCCGAAGCGGGCCCTTGATGTGTTTTTGCAACCACTCATACATGAGTTAAACCAGTTGTGGCATGTTGGAGTACGAACATATGACTGTTCGAGTGGTAAAAATTTTACGATGCGAGCGGTGCTTATGTGGACAATAAGCGATTTCCCGGCATACGGAATGCTATCAGGTTGGACAACGCATGGGAGGTTATCATGTCCTTATTGTCTTCATAGGACTGATGCATTTCAGCTTAAACATGGTAGGAAAACCTGTTGGTTTGATTGCCACCGTCGGTTTTTACCACCAAACCATCAATATAGAAGAAATAGGCGTTTGTTTATAAAGAACAAATTGGTTCGTCTCCCTCCACCAGTGTACCTAACTGGAGTAGAGCTTGAAGCGCAAATAGATCATTGGGGTGGACTTGAAACGGTCCCCCTTGGAGAAAATTGGCACACTCCTGCGAATATGCCTGAAGGATATGGGGTTCATCACAATTGGCACAAGAAAAGTATATTTTGGGATCTGCCTTACTGGAAAGATCATTTGCTTAGACATAATCTTGATGTTATGCACATTGAGAAGAATTTTTTCGATAACATCATGCATACTGTTTTGAACGTCCAAGGAAGAACCAAATACAGCGTTAAATCACGGATGGACTTACCCGATATATGTAACAGAATTGAGTTGCATATGGTGAGTAATGGGAAAGCACCTGTTCCTGTATTTCGGTTGGGTGCTGAACAAAAAACAGCATTGTTTAATTGGGTATCATCAGCCGTGAAATTTCCTGATGGATATGTATCTAATCTGGCTAAATCTGTGGATAAGGGACAAAAGTTTTCAGGGATGAAAAGTCATGATTGTCATGTGTTTATGCAACGGTTACTTCCTTTTGCGTTTGCTGAACTCCTACCGGGACATGTCCATGAGGCACTAGGAGGCATTGGAGCTTTCTTTCGTGATCTAAGTACAAGGACATTATCAGAAGATGTAGTTGCACAACTGTCTACAAATATTCCAATATTGTTGTGCAATTTAGAGAAAATATTCCCACTTGCTTTCTTCGATGTTATGGAACATTTACCTATACACCTACCTCATGAAACAGAGTTGGGAGGACCTGTTCAGTTTAGGTGGATGTATCCGTTTGAACGATTTATGAAGCATTTAAAGGGTAAGGCCAAAAACTTAGCAAAAGTTGAAGGGTCTATCGTGGCGGGAAGTTTGACAGAAGAAACTTCTCATTTCACGTCTTATTATTTTGCTCCGAAGGTTCATACACGCAAACGGGCTCCAAGACGTTACGACGATGGGGGTGTAGGACAAAGTTACGCAGTAGAAGGTGTGCCTGATATATTCTCACCAATTGGACGTCTAAGTGGGAAACTAAAAGAAACTTGTTGGTCAAACGAACAAGACTACCACAGCGCACATACATATATACTTCTGAATTGCGAGGAATTGGCACCTTACGAGAGGTACATAATTATAACCATGCATGATTAAAATTTGATTGAACAGACGAAATGTCCTTAACAATGTTTTAAAATTTC